AGCCTCCTATTGTCCTTTGGGTTTGATTTTTACCATGAAGGATTCTGGAAGCCCTCATTCCTTTCTCAGGCCCGAAACCAGACCGAACTGAAGAACTCTGTGGGACGTGAACTAGGATCCTGATTTTACTTGTTAGCTCTCTTCAGCTTTCAGAAGACTGGGTTTTTAGCTTTCTTCCCCTCACTGTACTGTACTGATGTGGTGGGAACAGAGATGGCACCCAGCCCTGCAGACTAGGAGTGCTCTGAAGGGAGAGACCCAGGCTACTCACCTGCCCATCCTAGAATCCAGCACACCAGTAAGAACTGAAACAAAGTACTGCCTGCTCTTCGGAGCTAGAAAGCAATAATCTGGAGAAAAGATGGGTTGAGGCTTCTGAAAGAGTACAGACCAACAAAGCCAGTCAGGTGTGAAGCTGCTTAGGCGCTTGAGGACAAGCAATCCAGCTAAAGAAAATGCCAGAGCAAGGACCTCTCAATGAACTGACTTGGAACTCAGTGTCATGGCAGAGAACAGAACCCTCATTTAGAACATCAGAAGCCCCTTCTGAATCAAAAACTTCTGCCGCTGATTTTCTCTGTGACTTGGCCAGTGAGACACTGCCAAATTGGCAGACTGGATGCATTCGTGGATAACAGACAACAAGAATACAAAAGAGAAAGGAGACGAAGAGAAAGAGTCTAGTAAGAAGCTATTTTAATTTCAACATGCAAGTGATCGTTGAGTCATTTGCAAAGGCTAATGCTTTCTTTGAAGGTGTCTACCATTTTCATTTAAAACTGCATTATGTGGAAGCGCCAAAATTTTCTCAGCACTCAACCTTTGACCTACACTCTCTCCTGCCTGCAAGACATGCTGGGGCAACAGTGGCACAGAACTTGTGGGAGTAGACAACCAATGACTACTCTAAGTTGAAGCCCATTCCACTAAAAGTCTTGATTTGTCTGGGTGAGTTTGGACAAGTCCTTTCCCTTTCCTGGGCCTCGGCTGTCAAGTGCTATGTTGCTCACAATGGTTTAATGACTGAATTTTGGGTTCATATACTGTCAAAAGACTCTACCCAAGCCAGAAAGGTACAGACAGGGACAAATGATACCAAGGTACCACTCTTTTCCCGAAACCTGATCACTTTTATCTTGATCAAAGGCAAGCCCAGAAGCATAACTTAAATCTTCTATTCCTCTACTAGTTGGACATCCTGGCACTTTTGCCACTTTTTGTTCATATGTCCAAAGATTAAATTTCTTGTTTCTAAAGGAGAGGAAATTCTAGTGAACATTTTGGTGTTCAAATTTCCAGAGAAGATGTTTTCAAAACATGGAAATAGCATGAAGCAGACCAAGAATTTCATGGTATTTGAAGAGAAAATGGGAAGGGAAGAAAAAAAATGAAAGAAAGTGGGTTTGTTTTTCACTCCCAACCCCCTTCTGTCAACCCGCTGTCCCAAGAGCCTCTGAAGATGACAGGCAGGACAGAGACAAAATAATTCCTGGCAAACTGTGTCTCAAAGTGTGTCCCAAGATCCCCTAAGCTCCATTATATTCCAGAGGTCGTGCCCCATCATTCTAAGCAAGAACAATATAACTAGGGGTGTAATGTCTCATGGCTAACTGGCTGTGGTCAAGTATTGTAGTTTTCTGATTTTTCGTCCCATGCCAAGCTATAACATGCTAGGACTATAATTCAAGCGAAATACACCAGTTTACCGTTTACCGTTTGCAGCCAGGGTTGACACAATAATGGAGATGAGGGTTGCTGCTGTGGATCTCACTGATTGCAGTCAAGCCAAGATAACTGAAAAGACGCAACAGAGCATGTTTCTCACAGAAAGTCCATGGGCTAGTGTGAAACAAGAGCTCACCACTGGTATGGAACATAAATAGAAGGGCCGATGAGATGGTTCAGCAGGAAAGGCACTTGATACTGAGCTTAATAGCCTGAGTTGAATCACTAGGACTTGCATGGTGGCAAGAAAGAACCAACTACCACAAGTTGTCTCTCACCTCCATAATATACCTTGAGCTATATAGTGTTTTACTAACTTCCTAGATCTCAAAGGAGATATTATACCCCTACGCTGATGTCCTGATTGCTTTTGTAATTGTCACCTAAGCACTTATAAACATTAAATGGATCTCTGAGGGAGGAGTAGGAAAGCTTGGATTGACTCAGCATATGGCAGCCGGCATGGAGCTATTTCCCACTGGCTTTGACCATAACACCTTTGAGAAGAACACAGAGTAAAGGCCACAGGATGCAACAAAACAGGTCACATCTAAATCCCTATGTGTGTGTGTGGGACCTCAATTTAGAAGCAGGCCACTCCTGAGGTATGGCAACTGCCATAGAGACACAAACAGAGGTACCTGATTCAGATCTGAGTGGGCCTTCTTCCCTACCACCCTCATCCCCCACCCCATGCTAGTTACAAGAGTTTCTAGGGCAGTCTCAAAGGGGCTCAAGTTACAGAAGAACAGCCTTTGGGGGGAGTGTTGCCAGGCAACCAAACCAGCCCAGTCTCTCCCTTATAACCTTGAAGATGGTAGGAGCTTGACCCGAGACAGTGTAAGGATTCAGTTTCTCCTCTTCTATCTTCCGTTCTGTCCTGTCCTCCCTCTGCTGCTTCCCAGAGCCCCAGCCCAGCCTGCATGCTGTGGGCCAGTGTGACATGCCACTATTCAGCCCTTTAGTGACAGCCAAGTTGTCCCAGTAGGGGGGCTACAAGCTGCTGGCCTGTCAGCTGTCATTCACTCTGGCCATGTTTCCACACCTTCCTTCCTAGATTTCCTTCCTACTATGGTTGGAAGAAATAGCCACAGGAAAAATGTGAGGGCAAGTCCAGCCACATAGGTAGTATTGCAGGATAAAAGGTTTAACTGGAAGTGCTGACCCGCAGCAAGATGGTGAGTAAAGGTGTGGGAATGCTAGGGGAAAGGGCACTAGAAAGAACAAACCAAAAGGACTGGACCTGACAGTGTCTGCTTGTTTGTTTATAATCACAATCTAATAGCCAGCCTGCTGGACACCTTGTTGAAGCTTATGCCTCAGCAACAAGGGGGTGCCAGATGGTACTCTGATTATGCTCCCCCACCTCTCCTTGCATTTGGCACTTACCCTCAGCTCATCCCTGAAAGGGCCTATGGCTACTGAAAAGTGTACCCTGGGAATCTCAAGAGTCCAGGGCAGGAAAACAAAAAAGCAGATCTTTTTGGAGACCCACAGAAGGCAGCCTTGTTTGGTGTGCGCAATAGTCCTTGGAGTACCTCAGGTCCAAGCAACAAAGGCAAGTGACCACACTAAAGATAAGAGACAGACACTCCCAGCTCTTGCAAACTTCCAAGAGGATAAATCAATGGCACTTTATCTTAAGAATCATTCCCCTCCTTTAACAATATACCCACAGCATAAAACTGTGTCTTTCTAACCCTATAGATCGCTGGAAAGGCACAGGTGACTTGGTGAAACCATCCCAACACTCTAGCCCATGGGAGGTGTTGGCTCACTCGGCAAACAGAAAGTTAAAAATTGGAAAAGCAGAGCTTCCTCAAGGTCCTCAACTTACCCTGCTGAACTCAGAGGGTGGCTCTCTGTAGGCTGTACACTTCAGGCTGTGCAGGGATTTGGAAATGTATTCTCCAAGCTGTCTTATCCAATTTCTCCTAGACTAATCCTGGTAATCAGTGGGACCCCAGGGAAAGAAAAACAATGACCTTCTTACCCTCTTTGTTAACTGAGAAGGAGCCAGACCCAGGGCTTTGACTTTCTTGGTCCCCTGCCTCCCAGAGGCTTCTGGTTCCATGTCCACATTCCATCTGGCAGTCATCTGTGTCTTCCACCTTCCTTTGCCCACATGATTCAGTTTATTTTTCTTTAGCAGTGACCTCTGCCATCTACCTCAAAGGTCAGAGACTTTCGTGAAGCAAGAGGGATGCCAGAGCCTCTGACTCCTGTCATTTTGTAAGGGGTGGAGTCTGCAACGAAGAAAGGCTGACCCAGACAATTCTCTCCTAAGGCCCTCACTCAAAAGTCAGCACGTAGCCATCTTCTGCCTCCATCTGAAACTTTCTGACCACGCTGATCCCCCACCCCGCCCGCCACCCCTTCCTAACCTTTCCTAGGTGCCAGTTGGCCCTATGACCTGGCATGTCTCTGCTATTATCAGCATTTTAAACATACTTAGCCTCCACCCCTTTTGAGAGAAGTCCCGCATTCTGAGAGAAGCCTGCCTTTTTTCACAGAGGAGATCCTCCCTATTCAAAGTGTTGAGATCCAAAGTAGTAAAGAGCCAGAGTTCCCGCCCACCTACAATCTCACAGGTTGCTAGCGTTCAGTGAGCAAACTCGTGGACCAGGCGTTTCTCAGGCATGGCTGGTTCTTAAAGCGAACACACTTTTAAGAAAACCGATGACAGTTTCTTTAAATGGTTCTCTCTCGAGCAAATCTGGGCAGCTGAACCTTAGCGGCTGGGGAGGAGGGGTGGGAGGGAAACGGCAAAGCCCAGGACAGTCTCCCCTCCCCCTGCCGGCCACTCCCGGCGAGGCAAGGAAGAAAGTGCGGGGAGAAGCAGGCGGGTAGGGAGCTCAGAAGCTGCTGGGCGCGGTAAGCCCCTTCATACTCCAGCGCGAAGTCGTACAGGTCTGGCTGCAGGGGCCCCAGCCGCCCGGGAGGCAGGCGGGCAGCTTGGGCGCGCTTTCCAAAGTGGCCAAATACTCGGTTCCCGACACCACTGGGACGCTTTTGGTCTGCACTGCCCGGGACCCCGCCGATCCCCTCCCTCTCCAAGCACTCCAGCGGCGGCAGCAGCCCCCAGGCCGGAACCCTGAGGGCAGAAGGCCACTTGGGACAGTGCGAGAGGATCGCAGGAGGTTCAGACAGCATGAGGGCGTCCTGGAGGCCGTGTCCCTCGATTTTGGGAGGGGCGGCCACAGGCAGACACAGCGGGGCATCCCCAGAGGCGGGTGGGAGAGGGTCGCGGGTTGCGGGTGCCTTTTGCCTTTTACCTAGCAATTCTTCGTCGTCCTCAGGGCCGAGCAGGCGACAGGGAATGCGGCGGTGGAGACGCACGGTGCGCCAGTACAGGCTGTCGGTGCGGCGCCCCATTGCCAGCAGGTGCCCTTCGAGGTCCTCCAGCAAAGCCAGCGAGTGGATGCAGAGGTCTGCGAGCTGGCGGAGCAGGCTGAGAGCGGCCAGGTGGTTCACGTCGCGGAGCTCAGCCAGTGGCTGAGGCAGCTTGCGCGGGCACAGACGCTGGGGCACCACCGTGCGCCGGTAGAACGGCATCCCGGGCACGGGCGCGGGGACCAGCACGGTCTCCTAGCCTTGTGGCACTCCGGGTCCCTGAAAGGCAGCAGCAGTCCGGGTGGAGCAGGGCCCTGGACGCGGGCAGGAGAGAGGCGCGGGAGGCTGGGCAGGCAGGCTGCTTCACAGCCTGCAGCGCCGGCTCCCCGCGGGCTGCACACTAGCAGGAGCAACCAGTCCCTCTGACTCTGTTCCACTGGGCTCCTCCTCCCTGTTTTTCTCCTCCTCCTCCTCCCTTGCTCTGCTACTTCGGGATTCACCTCCCCCCCCCCCCCCCGCCCCCCCCCCCCCTGCCGCCCGACTCCACACACACACACACACACACACACACACACACACACACACACACACACTTTTTTTTTCTTTTGCGGTCAGAAATTCGCAGACTAACGCTTGATCCCAGAGAAAAGCAAAAAAGGAGTACAAAGAAAGAGCTGAGAGTTAACAGGAAAGTCTGCATGAATGTGTGTTGAGGAGGGTGTGAGGTTGGGTGCACGGAGAGAGTACCCTTGTCCTTCCGAGGAGCTTCAGACCCTGTAATGACGGTTAAGGTTGTTTTCTGCTTTTTTTTTTTTTTTTTAACTTGAACTTTCTTCTTTGTAAATACCAAAAAAATAAAAATAAAAATAAATAAAAAATAAAAAAAGTAAACGCACCAATGTCTATACCAGCGAGTCGCAGCAGAGACGTGCAGAATGGTCTGACTTTATGCATCTAGCTTTTCTTCTAATGTCTAATCTGTGCCACGCATCACCCCACAGCAGGCTATGAGTGCAGTAGCTAGCCAGAAATTTGGGAATATAGTCTAAAGAACTGAGTACCTTATAAGACTGCTCAGGAGGGAAGTGACCCTGTGGAATAGCACTGTCTCTGCCAGCTTGCAAAGGCAATGAGTGAATAAATACAAACCCATTTTGTGGAATAATGGATTCCACTGGGATTGAGAGACACAACTTGCATTTTCAAAGTAAGCCCAGAGCTATTTCCTCTGTAAGTGAGTAAGGGTGAAGTGGGGTGGCCACCATGAGCTCCTGCAGTATCCCAGAAGAGGGGTTTCAAGAGCTGAGATGTTCTTTCAGTGCAGACAACCCTGATTTCTCTCAACTGTAGAAGGTAAAATGTGCTCAAAAAACTAGGTGCCTTTTAGTGTATTTTATGTCTGCATGCACGAGGGACTGTTCCACTCAGAGCTTCTCATACTGAACTTGTATGTGATTCTCCACTCATCTACTGTGATTTCAGGTGTGCTTTCTTTTTTAATTCTCTCACTTGTCATCCTACATATGCTCTGTTAAGTGTAAGCCCACAGAATCTATTAGCAAAATATTTTGGACAAAATACTTGTGTCTGCACAAACATTGTGTGAACTGTTTCTATTTTTTTTTTTTTTTTTGTTTCAGAAAATTAATTGTTCTTTAAACAGTTCAAGAAAGTTCTCCATGAGCTGGAGAGATGGCGCAGTCATTAGTAACAGCACAGCTGCTCTTCCAGAGGACCCAAATTCAATTCCCAGCACCCACATGGCTGCTTACATCTGTCTGTAATTCCAGTTCCAGGGGATCTGATGCTCTCTTCTCACCTCTGCAGGCACCAGGCACACACGTGGTGCACAGACACACATGCGAGCAAACACTTATACACATAGAACAATAAAATAAATTTTAAAAGAAATCTCTATAAATAGTATATTAAAAACATTTTTCTTTCTTTTTTTATTAATTATTTTTATTTTTATTAATTACAGTTTATTCACTTTGTATCCCACCTGTACCTCCCTCCCTCCTCCCCTTCCAATTTCACCCTCCCTCTTCCCTACCTGTGTCCCTCTCCCAGTCCACTGAAAAGGGAGGTCCTCCTCCCCTTCCCTCTGACCCTAGTCTATCAGGTCTCATCAGGAGTGACTGCATTGTCTTCTTCTGTGGCCTGGTAAAGCTGCTCTCCGCTCAGGGGGAGGTGATCAAAGAGCAGGCCAATCAGTTCATGTCAGAGACAGTCCCTGTCCCCATTACTATGGAGGCCACTTGGATACTGAACTGCCATAGGCTACCTCTGTGCAGGGGTTCCAGGCCATCTCTATGAGTGGTCCTTGGCTGGAGTATCAGTTTCAGAAAAGACCCCTGTGCCCAGATTTTTTGGTTCTGTTGCTGTCCTTGTGGAGCTCCTGTTCTCTCCAGGTCTTACTATCCCCCACTTCTTTCATAAGATTCCCTGTACTCTGCCCAAATTTTGGCTATGAGTCTCAACATCTGCCTCGATACCCTGCAGGGTAAAGTCTTTCAGAGGCCCTCTGTGGTAGGCTCCTGTCCTGTTCCCTGTTTTCTCCCTCCTCCAATGTCCATCCTCTTTGCCTTTCTGAATGGGAAATGAACATCTTAGCCAGAGTCCTCCTTCCTAATTAGCTTCCTTAGGTATATAGATTTTAGTTTGTTTATCCTATATTATATGTCTAGTACCCACTTATGAGTGAGTATATACCCTGTGTGTCTTTCTGCTTCTGGGATACCTCACTCAGCATGATCTTTTCCAGTTCCTACCATTTACCTTCAAATTTCATTATTTCCTTGTTTTTTTTTTATCGCTGAGCAATATTATTTTTATGCTTTTAAACATTTTGCTACACAAAATTAGTATGTGACACAACAACTACGCTCATTGGCTTTCTTTATTAGTTCTGCAACACATATATCAAAACATAATACTGTGCCCTGGACATATATAACTAATCATTTTTTGTTGATTGAAAATAAAGTACTGCATCCCAGTTGCCCTCATCTATGCTCATTTCTTGTTTAGTAAATAAAACCATAGTTAATAGAAAAGTTGAGTTCTAGTTAAAGTAAGAATCAACAAGTGGACAAAAGATTCCCCTTGTTTTGAACTGTAAAGTCTGGTTGTGGAATGAGGATCCAAAGTTCTTTAGTTTCTGAACTCTAACCTCAGCCAAGAGAGTAACTGGCAGGAAGTAGGAGACTTAAATTTACTCAGCAGAGATACTTTTCCTTGACCTATGAACTGTTTAGACTGATCTCTGCTCCTAAAGAGGAGAAATGAGGTAGGAACAGACTGAAGAAGACTGTCTGGACAGAGTTTTGCAGCCAGAGTGCTACAGATCTGGCCTGGGCCTGGCAGTTGAGCCACAGGGCACTCACTCACACCTGCTACTCTGATTCCTGAAGCAGGCTTTCAGAGCTCCCTAAGGAGAAGCTCAATTCTGGACCCCCTGCCCTTCCCCCCAGCCTAGTCAGTTCCCTCACTCCAGCCTCTTGAATGAGAGAGTCCTGGCTTTCATCAAGGAAATATCAAGGACTTGCAGTGGAGGCCCCTCAGAGCAGAGCCCCTCCTCCCTTCCCAGGACTCCAGCAGGTCTGCTTGCAGATGGAAGAAGGTCAGGGGACTTAAATCTTCACCTACCTTCTTAGCCTGTCTCTTCCACACAGGAAAGGGAGAGACTTCCAGAGAGGTGCTGCCTTGCAGTGCAAGAGTGAAACTGGATAGAGACAGCCACTAGGACAGCAGGGTCCTGCTGGTCTATGGAGGGACAATTGGGGTCCTAAAAGTGCCACTCTGCATCCAAGCTCACCAGGCAAAAAAGCAGCTAATGTTAAGGGTCTCCATCACCCTCTTACACAGCATCTGGTGCAGAGTACAGATGGTAATATGATCATCTGTTTGTTTATGATAATAGTAATAGTATTTCTTTGTAATACTATCATCATCTTCCTCCCTCCAATAGCTCCCTGAAGGCAGGGACCACATTCATCTTGTTTGCTGCTGTATATCCAATGCCAAGTCCAGTGACTCCATGTGTTAGGTTACTCAGGAAGTGTCTGTTAAATGAATGAATAAATGAAGCTAGATTATAGGCAGAGCCAGATATGAAAACCTTAGTAAAGAATTTAACTTGGCCAAAGGGGCAATGGAGGGTCACTGTAGTTTCTGGCATTGCCTGACACAGGAAGGAGGCATTTAAGAATTTCATCTAGAATCAATGTGGTGTCCAAGGCTGCTGCAACCATTTGTGCCAACATCCTCAAGGCTGAGTTACCAATAAGCATTCTGTGAATTAAACAGTTGCTTTGATTTGCCTATAAACCCTGGCACTAACACATGCAGGAGCTAAGACAAGCAAGGAAGTTGAGGCAGAGGAAGGGGAGGCCCTTAACAACTGTACCTACCACACCTCAAAGTGCTAGGTGCTTCTTACCCACTGCCACCTGCAGGGCTCCAAGGCCTGAGCAGTTTTTCCTGTAATCCTGCTAGGAGATAAAATCTGGGCCTAAATTAGGTCTACCTGTGGAATTGGACATGGCCTTGACTGATGCAGAGACAGGCAAGGAGTTGGGAGAAATGGACCACTTCTCTTTCCTTCCACAGTTCATCCTGCTTTTCCAGCTTGCTGAAAAGAACCTAGAGTTTTAATTAAAAAAATTTTTTTGAAAGGATGAACAACTGTTATAGGATAAGCCCTTTCTCCTTTATGCTGACAGTTTCCACAGCTGCAGAGTAGAAGTAGAAGAAGAAGAAGAAGAAGAAGAAGAAGAAGAAGAAGAAGAAGAAGAAGAAGAAGAAGAAGAAGAAGAAGAGCATCCTTGTTCTTTTCAGGCAGGAACCCTCTTCATACTACTTAGCCAGTTTGCCCGCACAGCCTCCAGACCTGATTCAGAAGCAGAAGAGAGAAAGCTTCCTTCATGTTGCCACTTTCCAAGGACTCACAAGTAGTACTTGGTGGTTCAGGAGGGACACCAGGGCTTCTCCTTTATAGTTCTTCAAAGTCAGTTATTTTTTTTTCCAATAGGTTCTGTTTGTTGTTTTATGTGTTTGAGAGGCAGAAGTCAAACCACTGTACTAGGCAGACACTCTACCCCTGAGCTATCCCCTGGGCCTGCTTTATCTAAGTTTTAAGACTGTGCATTCCACCCACATGCCCTTGCTATGACTTCAGGAAAGACACTTTCATTATGAATGAAAAAAAAAATGTAGCC